CCCCATGGCTTAGTCGGAGTCGCTGGAGTCTGTGAAGAACTCATGGCCATAACTCGAGTGCCAAAAGTCCATCTCCACCAGAGCCACGGTGAGAGCCCATTCGAGGGTGCTGAGCTCTTCATCCTCCTCATCAGAGCTCCCCACGGGAGACGGGCTGAACTCCTGCAGCAGAGGACAGAGGATAAGCCCCAACCTAGAGCCATGTTGCATGGCAATGCCATACCCCAGCCCACCCATGACATGCCACCCCACTTACCACGGGCATCCTCAGCCGCTGTCTCCTGCGCCGCGGCGGCCGACCGGGCGGCAGCTCGTGCAGGTAGATACAGTCTGACTTGAAGGGGCAGCGGCCGCGGTTCCGGACAAAGAACTTGCACCTGATTTTCCTGTAGGATTCAAAGCACAAGTTGTGAGTGTGAGTCCCAGAGCAGCACGGAGCCCGCAGCCCCCGGTGTCACACACTCACCCCATCCGTGCCTTGAAGGATTCAATGAGCTTCTCCTTCTCACCCATGTCCGACACCCAGTATTTGTGGGGGATGTAGTAACTGGAGGTGACCCGGCACTCTGGGCAGGCCCTGGGTGAAAGCAATGGGTGCAAGTGGGTATCCCCAAAAGGGAGCAGGGAGCACAGGCTCAGCCCCCCCGCTGGGTGGTCCCCACCACCACAGCCTCATCCAGCATCTCTGTCCCCATCACAGCTCCCAAACGCCTCTTCCCAAAGGAAAATTGCTCTAATCCCAAAGCCACATCCCCAAGGAAGGATTCCAAGGCACAGAAGGAGCGAGGATGACCACCCTTCCATGTCCCCATCCCCACTCACTTGATGACCGTGCTCTGGAAGTCCTGGCTGCGACGCCACTTGCGGATGCAGCCCAGGCAGTATGCGTGGCAGCAGTTGGGGAGGATCCCAAAGAGCCGCTCCTCTGGCAGTGGCTTCTCGTACACCCGGTCCATGCAGATGCCACACACCACAGCTTCACTCCGAGCCCTCAACACTGCGGTGGGGACCAGGGCTGCTGCAGCACTTGGATCCGCCGGGACCTGTAAGCAGAACAACTCAGCAATCCACCCCCCCACTCCATCCCTGCCCCAGCCTAGGGGACCAACGTGAGGTGATGGGGATCACCCAGCCACAGGGGACCCCCAAGTGAGGGGTGGGGAACCCCCCAGCCACAGGGGACCCCCAAGCCCACCTCTGCAGGGTCTGTCCATGTCGCTGTCTCCCTAGGGTCAGAGGAGTTTGGATCCAGTCCCAAACCTCGTGGGTGGGAGCCTGCAGGCAGGAGAGCTCTTAGAGGGGAAAAGCACATCCCACCTACCCCATCGTTAAAGACTCAGGCTGGCTGCTCGGGGTGGGGGACACAGGCAGAGCAGGTCAGGTCCCCACCCTAAAAAAGCTGTGAGGAGACCTTTCCACAGCCCCAGCTGGGCCCTGCCCAGGGACGGAGGGAGGAGAATTTGGGTCACGGGTGGGCAGACACACAGACAGGATGCTCCACCATGACCACCCCAGTATCCCCAGCCCCTCTGCTCCCTGGGCAGCCCCACACCTACCTGAGGCACCCTGAGCTCGTGCGGGGACAGATTCTCCACCGATGGCCCCATGGGGGACATTACCAGGTGCTGGGACATCCTCCTTGTCTTTTTCTTCCTCCTCAACCTCCATGCTTGGGAACTTGAAGGCCACGTGTGTCTCGTTGGGGACAGGGTGGGCTGAGCTGCGCCGGACTCTCCCCCAGCCCTGGGCCGCTGCTGTGGGCGCACTGCTGGGCTCTGAGCCCCAGCGGCTGGGGGGCATGGGGGGCACGGGGCCATAGTGGGTCCCCACGGGCACCGGTTCCAGCTGGTAGCTGGAGGAACCCAGGGACAGACAGACAGAGGGTTCCATCAGCCCAGCATGACACCTCCTGGCTCTCAGCCCATCCCCGTGGCATCAGGCCCCCTCCTTGCTGCTCCTCACCTGCATCGCTCTCCATAACTGCAAACCCCGCTCTGGAAGTACCTGCAGATCTGGGCTGACTTTCTGGCGTGCAAGAAGCGACAGTTTTGACCCCATCGACAGGATCCACGGACAAAATTCCTGTCAGAGAAACCACATGGTCGGGTCAGACCCCCCCAACACCAGCCCTGCTCCCCTGGTCACCCCAAAACCCCTCCTGGCCACCGCAAAATCCCTCCTGGCCATCCCAAAACTCCTCCTGGCCATCCCAAAACTCCCTCGGCTGCCCCAAAACCCC